GTGCACCCCCAAAATTTTCCATGTAGATAAATCCTTTTGCATAGGCACTCCAGACTGAGCCAAGAAGGAAGATAAAGATTAATCATTACAAATCCTAAGTTTTAGGGGCACTACCATCTATGACAATTTTTCTCACTTAGTTTGCAATGTCCCTATACACAGCAGATCAAGTGATACTGAGGGGAAAAGCACCTAGCTCCAAATGCAGGGAAGAACCCAATCATGCTAGGAATCACGTCAGACTGCTAGCATAGCACTGTGCCCTAATGTATATACCTGCCTTCCAGTAAAGCTAATGAGCTCAGCCACAGCATAGGGTCACTGTGAACTAGACCTGGTTCGTGTCTTACTGGCTCAACACATGAGCAAGGCACACCACCCCTGTGCCCATGGCTTTCCTTACAGACACACTGTTACAGCTGCAGGGGACTTCAGCAGTTCCAGGGTGAAGTGCGAATCTAAGCAGGTGCTCTAGGGTGCTGCAGGTGAGCTTAGAAGACATAATTTGGCTCAACCGGCTATAATCATAGTGAGTGTAAAGCCTTGTGAGCACAAGGACATTATTATGAAGTAAACCAAGGTGACAGCGGAAAACCAGAAGAGCTATTCTGAACTGACTTCAGGTGCAGATCTTCCATTCTGGGATACAAGTGCACCCTCACCACTCAGCTCAATCCCCATCCAAAGAAAGCTCACTTGAAGGAGCTAGGAAAACTGAGTTCAAGTCCGTGAAAACAGTCAGAATAACTGGGATTGCATTGTAAGCTTACTCCACAGTACTTCTCGATATTAAAAGATGAATGTAGTCTTAATTTACTACAACAATACTGAATAAAGCATATGCTGCAGCATCTTGTTAATTGGTTAAACAATGCATGACTTTATATCCTGTCAGCCCAGTCAATGTCAGGGTTGGTTTTTTTAAACCACATTCATCAAAGGTAGCATGGAAGGGTCTTGCCTGCAAGCCAGAGCTTGCGACTGTGGCCCTCATCTCACTGCAAGAGAGGGAGACTTTAGCTCTTTAGACACACCTCTTCTAAAGTATTTAACACTTACATATGTTTAGATTGTTTGGAAAATTGGTTTGAAGCCCAAATTTACAAAGGTATTACAAAGAAGTATCTGGCTTCTATTCCATTTCCTTGGGAGTCCGAAGACTAAATACCTTTGGGAATTCGGGCCTCAGGTCTTTTTTAAAAATGTTTTCATTGTGTCTGATCTAACATTCAGTTCCTCCTCAAGGCTAAGAAAATTAAAATTCTAAATGTTACTTAGGTGTCACCTGTACATTGTCAATGGCAATACTATTAAGCTTATCTGAGGCAGTGGATGAACTGGAAATCTAACCATAAAGACAGAGGTGGAAAAGAGGAGTATGTTGTCTAAACATTTCTCTGCCAGTACAGGATTGTTTCATATGCCATATTTCCTGCAATGTGATGGAACATGGTTAAACTATTAATTCACTCCAGATAATTCCTAACACTCTTTATTATTTAAATTGTGTAGTCCAAGAGGTTTACATTTAAAAAATCAAACTATTGTACCAATAAACTAAGATTTACAGTGTGTCCAGTATGAAACTTTCTGTGGCAGTGAACAGAAGTATGATGTGCTGTGGCTGGGAGACTGAGGGAAGGGTTTCCCTCTGGAGACACACAGGCCATCTCTCTGCTCTCTACTGCATTCTGCTAGCATTCAGAGCTGACTGAAGCTGCCTTAGGCTGCCAATAACACTGGGTTTTATACTGGTGATCATTGTAATAATGCACTTGCAGGAAATTTTCAGGACTTAAATAGTTTCTGCAGAAATACTTTACTCACTATTACCTCTCACCCAGGCTCCAAAATAAAATGAGACATATAGGTCAGTTCTCTCTTGGCACAACAATGTTGCCCCGGAGCAGCGAGCCAACTGCAGCAAAAACTGCCCATGAAATTCTTGGCTGCAGCACGAAGAGGAAAATAATGTGGAAATTGGGGAAGACACACACAGATACAAAATGATGATGTTGTCTGAAATTTTTGAGAAAAAAGTTTGAAAGGAAACAATCAGGGAGAGTGGGGTGCTGGCCAGCCAGATTCAGGATGTGTCACCTCTCAGAGACCTAGCTGATCCTCCGAGCTGAAAACATCTTCTGAAAAGCTTCGCTTAAGACTTGAAAGCAAAATACATAATGGTGATGTCAGGCAGCTCCCACCATCCTCTTCGCATTAAACCTATTCAAAAAATCGACAGAAGGAAGGTCTCGGGTCTGAACGGGAAACTCAAACCGCTCCTTTCCCTCAGCCTCTGCCACCCCACCTCCCTCAGCCTCTCTCCCCTCTGTCCTTCCCGCTCCACCCGGGGCGAGGCTTTCCGTCCGGGGGCCCGCGCCCTGCCTTGCCTGTCTCAAGCCCAGGGCTGCGGGCTCTAGCGCGAGGCTGCGGGGGCCGGGCCGGCGCTGTGGGGCCGGGCCGGCGCTGTGAG